TATCAATACATGCATAAATTATGATGATGGATGTCAAGTGAATTTCTGAATTAATCTTCCTACATTGAATTCTATTGGTACTTTATGGCATTCTCAAACATCTTACATGTAGTTACATGTGTATTCAATTTTTAACAACATCAAGTTTTAATCAATGCACATATTGCTTTATGATCAGTGAAATATGTTTCCAGAATGTGTACAGTCACTTGTGATTCAGGCAAATTGGTAGTATAGGATGATACCAATTGTCTGTAATTTTTCTCTCTTATAAACAAGTTATTGAGGGGAACTTTCTCTTTTTGAATTAAGTAATTGACATTAAAATCCCCAAGAAAAACATTAAAATCAGAACAGCAACTATTGAGAATTTGGGTCAATGCTAGACACATTTGTTGGACTGACACTTTCGGTGACCTGTACACACCTATGATATTAACATGGGGAATGGCAACAACTTTGATAATGGTTATTTCTACTCCATTGGTGTTTTTGGCCAGTGGATATCCAGGCTTAAAGGGGATTTTAGTGTATACAGCTGTTCCACTAAAGGGTCTTGTAGTGAGTATTGCAGATTCACTGTCATTTCGAAATATAGTATACCCACTTATGGCATAGCTGGCATTGCTATCTAAATGGTACAGTCTTGTTTCTGAGAATATATTGATATCCATATTTGAATAGTTTAGGTCACTACGTATGTCTTCAATATGTTTATGCAGAGATCTTGAATTAAGGAAGCAAATTTTAAAAGTATTTGGGTCTAATTCATAGATCGGAGTATTAGAAAGTTTGGTATGGTGACCTGTGCGTAACTGCTGCATGTGAACTTTAACATCATGATTAACAGCTATTTTACTTTCAGAAAGGTCAGTTATGTAAAGTCCATCAACTGTTGTTACTCTGCTGAGTCCTACACAATGCACATGAGGTATTGCTCTTTTGGTGTTAAAGTTAACAGCTATTCTAGTTTCTGTGTCACCCTGTGATCTATGTATGGTTTTGGCTGCTGCAGGTCTTAATGGAAACTGCTTTCTTACAACTTGGGCTGTTCTGTTTCTTCCTACTGCAAATTGTGCAATGATAGGTTTGATAGGAGTCCATGTAGCTTCAATTCCTTGCAAATACAATTGCTTGTTATCATATCTAGTTTTTTCTCCAACATCAACATGGTCAAACTGTACCCAAATTATACCAGATGGTCTACTTTTGTCATATAATGTAATCTTTTTGATAATATTACTTGCCCCTTTTGTGATACCATCATCAGTTCTTACATTTAATGCTATCTCTGTTCTCTCACCCTCAGCAAGTTGAAGGTTTGAGGCTAACTGCTTGGTTTTTCTAGGATCTAGGGGTATTTGGTTTAATATCTTACTTCTGAGTTCTGGAGAGTTTGCACCTATAACACTGTCTAAAGCTCTAATGGTGTATTTATCACCAGTAGCTGCCATATGGACTCTATTGTTCCACTCATCTACTTTAGAATTCTGTATAAAAAAATGGGGAATATCAGTTGGGTAGTCTCTACAATTTTCTGAAATGCATCTCTCTTTAAGTTTGGCAATGTCATCTGTAGTGTGATTACCTTCTCTTAATCTGTTAAGAATTTCAGCGAATTGTTTACTTTCTCTCTGCCTCATGATTTCTTGTAATTCAAACATGGTAAAAAGTTCTTTCCAGAGGTTGGGAGCAAGAGCTCCATACTCTGAGTCCTTCATGTCTTTAAACACATATCTATCCATAACTGGTTCTAGCTGGAATAAATCACCCAGTGCACTAACACCCCCAAATGCCTTTTTGCTGCCTTTAATATCTTTTAATCTATTGTTTATTTGTACATTAAACATGGTATTTCCTACCATAGATATCTCATCTAGAAATATTAGTTTAAGTGCATGAAGTTTGCATCTCAAAGTTTTAAGTCTACTAGAGTCTAGTGGTTTGTCATTCTTAAGTGATTGGCATGCTGGTATTTGCAAGGTACTATGTATTGTGTTACCTCTGATAGAAAAAGCAGCTTTTCCAGTAGGGGCAAGCAACAATATTTTGACTTCCTGGAAATCTTCTCCATGTCTGGAGTTATAATATTTTAATGCTGCCTGATATAATGCTTTGACAAGATGGGAATTACCCACTCCAGCTCCTCCAGAGAGAAAATAGTAAAATGGTTTGTCTGATGTTTTAATAAGATGCAAGACATGATAAAAAAAAACTCTTTTTACTTTTTATTTAGTGTTTGTACTAATTGTCTATAATCATTGTCTAGCAGCTCATTTAATATTAGTGGTTCAGTACTTGTTGTCACAGAAGGAATTCCAACATCTTCTGATAGGTCATAGTTCTCATTGAAGTCAGGATGTAGGTCATGAACACCTTCATACTCATCTTGGTATTCTATATTTTGAGTAAATGGTGCTATTGAATCAAACTGATCATCACTCAGAATATTATCATTTATGTGCTCCTGAATTTTATCAATTTCATCGCTGTAAACAGCATATTGTTTCATTTGGTCATTATGGCATCTTTCATAAGTAAAAATCGGGCCTTATAAGAAGAACAATTGGATATTAAGTCAGTTTCCTCATTTCTTCATGATGTGAAGAGCATAATTAATGGTAGTATTTCTCTGGGTCTTTTTCTTTGTTAAACCAAACACTTCTAATAATTCTAGCTGATGATCTTTTTCTATTTGTTTCCTTATTGCTCCTACTTTCATCAGGAAGGGTATCATCATTTTCATCAATGCCTGTTTCTAAAGGAAGTTTATCTGTGTCATTTTGAAAAGATTTCTTTACATAAGGCTTTTGAGACAAGTCATACCATGCTACCCAATCTGCTAATGTTAGGTGTTCAAGGCTGAAGGACGTTTTACATATCTTTGCAACAGACCAGTTGTATACACTTCTTCACAATCATCTTCCATTTCTTTCATTTCATTAAGTTGCTTAAGGAGCTGCACTCTTTCATCGGGAGGTGCAGTATTTATGAATACCACTCGTTGTGATGACTTCTTCATAGGGAGCTGGAGAACAATGTAGACAGCTTCTTGTGCACTAATTTCAACACTATTTAAAAATTTGTTTCCAATATCCCTGACTTGTTGCTTGATGTTAGAATTTTCTTTCCTCACTTCTGCACATGCTTGTCACAAAAGTTTACTCATTCCTTTTTGTGCTTTAGAAATATATGATACTATATACATAGCACACGCATAGATGTCAAGAACAAATTGAATATCCATGTTTGCTCTCCATGCTTTAAGGCAAGTTGGGTTGTAACTATTAATTCTTAACTCACTTGGTTCTCTTTTTAAAAATATAGTAGGAGAATTCAAAGCTGTCCTGATAGCTAATCGATAGTTATTTTCAGTAATGCTTAGTTTAAGAAGCAGCTCCTCAAAAGTAATTGATTCACCATCCTTTAAATCATTTAGTTGCTTTTTAATAGTTTTCCAAGTTTCTTTATGTTTTTTAATTTCGTGTTGTGATATATCTGAACCTAAAGGATACATGATTTCAGTTGCTCTCATAGGAGGTTGCGGGTAATTAAATCGACATTCACTCTTTGACTTCTTTCGACATGTGTGAGAATGTCTGTGAATTTGTCTGTTCACTAGTTTCTGCAGTTGTGGGTCATCAATTGGCCATTTACAACTTACAATCTGATCAATGAACGTTGTAACAGTTGCATCATCATCAATTCCAAACACTGGTGCACTTTCTAACCATATAAGCATATGGATATGAGGTGAACCTCGTTGTTGAAATTCTACTCTATAGAACCAGTCAGATATCCTTCCTAGAGGTTGGCACTTATTCAAGAGGAAGTTAGTGAGAAATTGACTGATCTGATAATCAAAATGTCTGGCAAATGATACTGGGTCACTTTGAATTAACCTACATTTTTCATCCCAGTTCATATTTTCCAGATGAGTATCAGTGTACTGTTTGTGGTCAACCAACTCTCCAAGTATTCTGAGCAAATGGATCCACTGAGTTTCTGCTGAAGAGAAACTACAAAATAACAAGGCTGGTCCTAATTGTCTTATCATGGCAAACAAGTCTTTCTTTGCTTTTTCAAATTATGGTGGGGAACCTCTTAATGCTCTAAGAAACTGAAATCCATCATCATGATGAATCAATTTCTCTAATGCTCCTTCTTGTTTAAGTTGTGCTGCATTTAAAGTTCTGCTATTCCCTTTGCACTTTCTAAGAGCAACTTGCACTTTCTAAGAGCAACTTGGGAATTTCCTAATAGTATTTTCATTTGCAGTTTCTTTGTTTTAAAGAATATGTTTTCAACACACATAGCCGCTCTTCTATCTGACTGCCTCAATTCAGATTTACAAATGTCACTGTAATGCACGCTAACCAATCTCTCTTTATTTTCTGAAGCCTTTCACTCGTTCACATTGAACCGTGCTTCGAAAACTGTGGCATAATGAGAAACAAACTTTGAGGAAATTCATTATAAAGACTCCACAAAAGACCGCTTCACTTACCTACTTCACCATCCACGCGTGGGTTTGACTACGCACAACGTCGAAAGAAAACATTACCTTTTCATCGACTTGTTGTTTTCTTCGCGTTTCCAAATTCCATTGGTCTCGACTATTCCTCGCTCTGTTTTTTTCTTGAATGGGATTCGTCGTAGTTTTTTCGTTTCCGACTCCCCGCGATTATAAATCGATTTGTTTACACATTTTTTGGTTAACATTTTCTTTCCCCTTTCATGTCGACCATCACAAAATGTATACTTTAATGTGGCCTTACTAGTATGACCTCGTAATTTGTGGTATATGAAGTATTTTTCGAAATTTTTTGCACTCTTCCATAGGTGTCTTCGTGCTAAAGCACTAGACACCAAAAACACTATCACGTCGTCCGCCATTATGGATTACCCGCCAGAGAAGGACTGGATAAGAAATTGTACTGCGCGCATATTCAAACGAGAGTCATGCGCTGATTTATTGCTAATGACTTTTCTCCCTTCGCCGAGTTCACTGAAACCTTTCTGAAACGTGAATGAAAAGACCAACATGGCGAAAGAACACCGTACATTTAAAGAGGAGTGCAGTTATATTGAGCGCTTAAACGAAAACTCGTTTCTTATCAAGAAAGGCTTTGTCCCAAACATGAAGGTAAGTGAACGCGCGCCAAAAATCAGATCGTAAGCTCAACTCCAACTGATTGGCGTGCGCGTCAAAATACACGTCTAACGATGTCATACTTGAGAATGTTGATAATAAGCTATGGTCATCGAAATAAATCCCCTTACACCTGCCATATCCGTCAAAGTAATTTCCTACTTTGAAATAAGTTTTGTCACAAGGAAAATTGTTTCTGGGACAACTGGGCCCAGGAACCTTTTCTGCCCACGTTATGATCAAATCCCCGTCCCCTGCCCCCCTTCCACGTCTCTCATGTCAGAACTATTTTCTTTTATTTGTTTGTTTGTTTCAATCAGTCAATTCACGAACTACGGTCAAACCTGTCTTAGGTGGCACCGTATTGAGCACTTGCACTGTAGTAGACGCCATATTCCCGAGGGTGACTGCTTAATACAAGGTTGACTGAACGGGACAAATAAATTTTGTCCTCACTTCCTCCATCAAACCCAGATTATATCCATTATTGTCCCCATCCCCCCTAATTTCTCACCTTTTCCCCTAGTTGCAGACTGTGGTGTTTTGCTGGAAATTGTTGATGCAAGAATGTCCTAATAAGTACTGGATTAGGATGTTCTGATTAATTAGTACCATGGACAAATTTTTACATACTGTTTCAGATTCAAGACTTGAGGTGTACATTGCAACTATTCAACTCTAAAGTTCAAACTATTCTTTTCTTTTTTTTCTTTAAAGGTTGAAGGTATCTTAGATATATAAATGAGCTGCTCGAAAAACTAATGTTTGATGAGCTGAAGCACTGGGCTGGAACTCAAGGTACAGTACTTTAAACATTTGAAATATAATACTGTTGTATTTGCTGCATTTGTCTTATTCCTTTTATGCAATTAAATTAAATTGCTCTCCAGGTATTGGTGGTTTCCTTCCTGGTGTAAGGCAGATTGCAAATGTTGCAGCTTTGCCTGGAATTGTTGGTGTAAAAATGATCATAACTTTTTCTTGTTGAAATTACAACTTAGTTGAATTGAAACTTGTTCAGTCCTGGGCCCAGTTGTTTGAAGGCTGATAAGTGCTAACCCAGGGTTAAATTTTAATCAGGGTATGTTTAATCCTTTGTTTAAAAGCCTTTTAAAATAATTTACCATAGTTTTTTTTGGGCATCCAATCATCAAACTGCAGACTAAAGGAATTGTACATGTAGACTGAATTTCATTTGAAAGCTTTCAGATATGAAATCAGATTTCACACTGACCATTAGTTATCGAAACTCAGCTTTTAACAAACTGACCCTGTACTTTTGGGAAGCAGAGAAAATATAAAGTGGAGATGACAAAAGAGTTTCTTGTTATACAGTTTGTGTTTCCATAGAATTTTTACACAAAGATTTCACTTAAAGTGGTGCCAAATAGAGCATCCAGTTATCCAGTTAGATCCAGTTAGATCCAGTTATCCCATGCACGATCTTGAGAACACATGCAAATCAGTTTTTCTGCTTTAAGCAAAAGCCCTTAGAACTGTTTTTCTAGGATTTTTCTTAAGTTCCTGTTTATTTCCCTCAAAAAACAGGAAAACTGAAAGTGAAAAAAGGCAAATAGAATTAAAAGGCTACGTTCATTATTCAAACTTTATGTGCTGTTATTTACTTCGTCAATGGAGTTCCTAGGCCGCTCATGCAGATCACAACACAACGACTCAGTTTAATTCTAGCCACTCTAGAAGTAACATTCCTTCACTTCTTTGCTTATGGACTACAATTCATTTTACTGTCACTTTGATACCTATTTTTCGACGGTAAACCCTGTTTCAACAGGAAAAGAAAGCTGTTTAAAGGTGAAATCTGAGTAGAAGGAATTGCTTTCTACCATCGGAACACTGTTGAAACACCATACAAACTTGTTTCCAATACCTCTAAATATTTTTCACAGCACCCTTGCAACTCAGGTATCAAAGTGATTTCAAATTGTTGGTGTGACTGAAAACCCTGTTTCAACGGGAAAAGAAAGCTGTTTTAACAGTGAAATCTGACAAGTAAGAATCATTTTCCACCATACAGTAAATGAAAAATGAAAATGATAATCGTAATGATTTGCACATTTAGTTCAGGGCATGAAATTGCACCTAATACAGGTACCAATGTGACTAAATTTTTCACTTTGGCGACTAAATCCTGAAAATCAATCACCAAATTGGTGACTAGCATGTTTCATCATAACCTTACCGAGAGATTTAGTGAATTAAAAAGATTTGCAAAGATAAATCCATGGCAAACTTCCTCGTTAAGTTTGTTTTCAAAACACAGCACGTGCATCTCAATCGATGACTTGATGCCAGCTTGGACTTAGGTGAGCTTGAATGTTATTTATCATCCATCCTAGTGTTCACTTTGTAGCACTTTAAAGATCTTTTCCCTAGTTTTATTTTGGAGGGTCTATCTTGGACTGTGACAGTGTAAAAAAAGGTTTTGTTTGTCTTTGAAAATGGCGACCAACTTTTTTTGAATTGGCAACCACTTTGAAGAATTTAGGAGCCTATTGGCTATCAGAAAAAAAAATTAATTTCACGCCCTGTAGTTAGAAAGAAGTAGTCAGCTTTAGGGGTTTTTAGGGCTTTTGAATTCTGATTAGGTATTGTTTCATCATTCTTGTTCTATTATTTTATGTCAGCGCTACTAGATTTGATCAAGTGAATTTGCTAGCTATCTTAGAATTTCATCTCTCCGCAGCCAAGAAGAATGTTGTGATTTACTTAAAAAAAGTATTATCTGGTCCTATCTGCTGTCTGGTGCATTGTTGAAAGCACTTAGCACATATTATTTCCTTTAATTTCGTTAGTTGAGTTCGTGTGCCACTGCACAGTAAAGATAAATCAAGAAAGCCTGCCTGTTGGTTTGTTTGTTTGCACTTCACGAATGAATGAAGACACAAATAGTACAGAACAGAAATGAAGATGCCCCCTTTTACTTTGACATAGTTTAAAAGTACCTTGAACTATGGAAAATCCCTCTTTGAACATTAACATGATTTGAATTAATTTAAGCCATGAGTTCAACCTAGTATGGTATCTGGGATTGTGGCTTAGTCATCATTATGGGTGGCCGTCACCACCAAAAATACCAGGATGTCAAATAGATCAGTAAACACAAAGCTGGTTTAAGGATCAGCTGCAGGACAGCATAGCTAATAAAGGAATGGCATGGCCAAATTATAGACAGTTTACTTTTCCTTCATGAAACAGAACACGCTAAACATGAATAGTTTAGCCAAATGATAAACAGTCTAGTTGCCCATGTCGAATTGGAAATTGAAATTGTGAAATAGACTAGCTCAATTGCAAATAACTTAGCACTTAGTGGCCGTCACCACCAAAAATACCAGGATGTCAAATAGATCTGTAAAAACAAAGCTGGTTTAAGGATCAGCTGCAGGACAGCATAGCTAATTGTAGGCGCAAGAATTTGTACTATCATTTTTTGTTAGTGTTGGTGTTTCATAGTTTCGTGTTAGGTGTTTATTTTCTCGTCTTCCATTAGTGTCCTTTGTCAGTTACCAGTTTTGTACTTGTTATATTTATTTGCATATGGTATATATATTGGTTGCGCGTAATTTATTTGGTTAGTTGTCTAGTTTGCGAAAATTGTCGTTACATATCTAGCTCTGGGTTTCATGTTTTCGTCTTTGGGTTGGTCACATTCGTCTTGTAAGTATCCTTGTTTATCTCGCTTTGTCGTTTTCCAGTACTTTCACTCATACGATGTAAGTTATTTTATGCTCATTCGCGTGTTTGTAATTTTGTCATTTTCAGTTACCGTATTCAACAATGTGTCAAGTTTGTTCTAGTAAAGTTTGAAATACGAGTGATTAGCGTTTGCGGCTATATTTTGTAAAAGACGAATCTGGTTTATTGGAAGTTTATGTCGATGTCTCGCAACGGTTCTGATGTCTACCTGTCTTATTCGGCCGGGAAGAACGGCCAACCTGCCGAAAACGGTCCACGTGCTCGTAAACCGAATACCTCTTTGGATCAAGAAGGAATCTCTCTTGAACGCATCCGTGAACTCAGAAAGCGGAGAGGAGGAGTGTTGTCTTCGTTAACGTCCAAGCGTCGAGAGATCGATAGTCTTTTAACGGATGAAAATAATTTGGGGACGGTGAAAGTAAAGCTGTCGGAAATCACGTCGCTATTTCGAAGATTTACCGAGGCTCATGACGCGTATAATGTAGCTCTGGTTGAGGAAAGTCAGAGACAAGAATCAGACCTCTATTTCGCCGACATTGAAAGCAGTTTAGATTTTTTCTGCCGTACGGTCAATGATTGGTTACGTGTCACGGAAGCCAGGCTTCAAGATAACCTGATAACGCCTGACGACAGCGCTTCTCAAATTGGGTCCGAGGTTCGTAGCAAGTCTAGACCATCCATGTGTGGATCGAGAACGAGTCACTTTTCTAAAACGAGCTCCATATCTGCTGCAAGAGCCAAAGAGGCAGCTCGCATCGCGGAACTTCGAGCGGAGGCACACGCTTTGAAACACCGCCATTCGCTTCAGGAATCGGAGCTACGCCTCAAGAGGCAAGAGTACGACCTGCAGTTGAAGAAAGATGAATTAAACCTCAAAACTGAGTACGCTAAAGCGGTGGCTAGAGAAGAAGCTTACGCTCAAGCTGAAGCGGGTAACTTCGCGCCTAGCAACGTGGCCTCTAGGAATCCTCGTTGTCCCGTTTCAGTCGTATCCTCCATCACTGAAAAGTCAAGGACTGGTGGTTCAAAACGTGAGTCATTTGTACCTGCCGATAAGAAAGAGAAATTGTCTGTGAAGTCAAGTAACCCGGTTAAAGATCATAAAGGTGCTGTGAGTGATTCAAGTTCAAGCTCTGGCAACTCAGGTCTGAGCGACCAGGCCTATGGCATTCTCGTCCAGCAGAACCGAGTAATGGAAGAGTTCGTGAAACAGCAGCAAAGGAACTTGTTGCCCAGGAGACGTGTACCTGTGTTCAGTGGAGACCCTTTACATTACTGTGCTTTCATTCGCGCGTTCGAGACCGTAATCGAAACTAGAGAACTAGATTACGCTGGGAGACTCTATTACCTCGAACAGCACACAGCTGGCAGAGCTCAAGAGTTGGTACAAAGTTGCCTCTACATGAAAGCTGAAGATGGGTACGTGAAGGCAAAGAAACTCTTAGAGAGCAAATTTGGACAGAAGCACAAAATCGCTATGGCATATGTGGATAAAGTCACTAATGGTCCAGTCATCAAAGCTGAAGATGCAGACGCCCTAGAAGGCTTTGCCGTTTTGCTCTCTAGCTGTACAAACACTCTTAAGGCTATCGGCTATTCCAGCAAGTTCGAAAGTCCGGATAGCATGCGGAAGATTATTGAGAGGCTTCCCCCGAAGTTGCAAGCCAGTTGGCGGGACAACGCTGATCGGATCCTCAACTCGGAAGCGAGAGATGTCTGCATTGATGATATTTCACTCTTCGTTGAACAGAAAGCTCGCACCTTGTCCAATCCAGTTTTTGGCAAGCTTCCTTGTTTGGAAAAGGAGAAGAAGAACAGCAAGGATAGGGGTTCGAGATCGAAGTCTGAGAGACCCGGTGGAAAACAGCTAAGCCTCGTCACGATTTCCGAGACGAAATCTGCTCTCAATTCATCTGCTGATGTGTTGAGTGCAGTTCATTCTTCTAAGAAGAACTGTCTGTTTTGTAATGCAGATCACAATCTCACCGAATGTTCCAGTTTCGCCAAAGTACCTCCTACAGATCGTCAGGAGTTTGTCATGAAGCAGAGGCTATGCTTTTCGTGCTTAGGTGGAGGCCATCAGTCTAGAAGTTGTCACAAAAGGAAGCCCTGTATTCACTGTAATAAGAGACACGCTACTGTAATGCATGTAGGTGCACCAGAAGCTATTGTTGCGTCCGACCGTGGTAAGGATGGACCTCAGAGCGAGAACAACCAGTCCAGTACTGAGAAGAACAGAGCTGATCACTTTTGTGGCCTAACCACAATGGAGGGTTCCGTGAATGCATTGCCCATTGTTGCTGTGAAGGTCAAAGTCAAAGGAAGTCCTCGGTCCGTGGAGACCTATGCGTTGCTGGATAATGGATCTAACACCACCTTTTGCTCGGCTAATCTGTTGAGACGTCTGAGAGTCTGCGGCAAGGAAATGAGAATCAAGCTAACCACCATGGATAGCTGCAACGATGTGGACAGTCTCGTTGTTACGAACCTGGAAGTGGCTGATCTAGACGAGAACGTTGTCATTTCCTTGCCAGAAGTTCTTTCCCGACCTTCTATGCCTGTAGTGAAAGACGAGATCCCGAAACAGGAGGATGTGGAGCGATGGCCGCACCTCCAAGGCTATGTATACCTAGCAGAATTGAATTCCGAGGTGGATCTATTGATTGGTGCAAATGTACCTGAAGCCCTACAACCGAGAGAAGTTGTCCCTGCCTCTGATGGGGGTCCATATGCAACTAGAGTTGATCTTGGCTGGGTTATCAATGGCCCAACTGGAAGAAAGCAAAAGTTTGTCCCATCTTCTAGTTTCTTCGTTAACTGTAAGGAGACTCATCCTATGTGTATAGCATGTGCTGATTTTGCAGATGCCACTCTTTCCGATGGTTTAAGCATGTCAAGGGATGACTTAAAGTTCATGAACATTGTAGAGGATTCAGTTATGCAGTGTGAAGATGGTCATTATCAGGTTTCTCTACCGTTAAGGGACCTCAACTTGCAGATGCCAGCAAACCGGAGTCAAGCAGAACGCCGTGCTCTCTATCTTAAACGTAAATTCTCTAAAGATGTGAAGTTTCGCGAGGACTATGTTGCTTGTCTTGAGAAGGTGATCGGTGACGGTTTTGCAGAAAAGGTTCCCCTGGATGTCCTGAAGAGATCAGATGGTAAGGTGTGGTTTATCCCGCACCACGGCGTTTATCATCATAAGAAACCGGATAAAATACGTGTCGTTTTCGATTGCTCAGCCCATTCTCAAGGAACTTCCCTGAATGATGAGCTGTTTCAAGGTCCTGACTTAACCAATAATCTGGTTGGCGTGCTGATCCGTTTCCGGCAGGAGCCAGTCGCAGTCATGGGTGACGTTCAATCTATGTTCCATCAGGTGCGTGTCCCAGAAGAAGATAGAGACCTCCTACGGTTCCTTTGGTGGCCCCGTGGTGACTTCTCCAAGGAATTAGAAGAGTATCGGATGACCGTACATCTGTTCGGTGCGGTTTCGTCTCCCAGTTGTGCTAACTTTGCCATGCGACGGAATGCCGAAGATCATAGGCACGAGTTTTCCCCTGACGTGGTTAGTACTGTCTTGAAGAATTTCTACGTTGACGACTGCCTGAAGTCCTTACCTTCAGCGACTGTTGCAATAAAGCATGTGGAAGAACTTCGTCGGCTAATGCTGAGGGGAGGTTTCAATTTGACTAAATGGATCAGCAATGACCGCGAAGTCTTGGAATCCATTCCTGTAGAAGCTAGAGCAAAGGATGTTAAAGATCTGGATCTTGATAACGACGCGCTTCCTGCAGAGAGAGCCCTAGGTGTATCCTGGTTTGTCGAGACAGATTCATTTGGTTTCAAAGTGAACATTAAGGAGAAACCCTGTACCAGGCGTGGTATCCTTTCCGTGGTGAGTTCAGTTTACGATCCTCTCGGTATGGCAGCGCCTTTCATCCTTCCGGCAAAACTGCTCCTTCAGGATCTGTGCAGAAAGAGTTTGGGTTGGGATGATGAGATTCCCAGCGACTACCTATCTCGTTGGCGTGTGTGGCTAAATGGTCTACCGAAACTTTCCCAGATGTCAGTGGGCCGGTGCGTTAGGCGTGGATCTGGTAACGTTGTGTCAAGTGAGATTCACCATTTCTGTGATGCCTCTCAGTCGGCCTTTGGAGCTGTTTCGTATCTTCGACAGGTTGACTCCGATGGCCAGATCAACTGTTCTTTCCTTCTCGGAAAATCTCGTCTCGCCCCTTTAAAACAGGTCACTATCCCACGTTTAGAGTTAGCGGCCGCCACTATGTCCATTCGTTTGAACAAAGTATTGAAGAAGGAGTTGGAGATTCCGATTGATGCAATCTCTTTCTGGTCCGATAGTATGACCGTGTTGCGTTACATTGGAAACGAATCCAAGCGCTTCCACACTTATGTTGCCAACCGTGTGGCCCTCATTAGAGAGGATTCCAGTCCCTCACAGTGGAGACACATCGACTCCAAGTCTAATCCTGCAGATGATGCTTCACGAGGAGTTACTGCGGAGTCCTTCACTAAGAACGACCGCTGGATAAAGGGGCCGGCGTTTCTGCTGAAACATAAATCTGAATGGGAAAGGTCCCCTCTGTGCGGCGTAAAACTGGAAGAGGATGACCCAGAGGTGAAACGAGAGCCGAAATCTTTTGTTGTTCACGCGAGTAAAGATTCAAGTATCGTTTCTATCATCCAACGGTTCTCTTCATGGTTCAAATTGTTGAAGTTTATCGCGCTGTGTCTTCGCTGCCAGAGAAGATTTGTGATGAGGAGAAAAGTGTCAAAGGAGAATTGTTTGGATACTGCTGACGCATCTGGAGCGAAATTGGTGACAAACGCAGAGTTGGAAGAAGCCGGAAAAGAGATTATCAAGTTCGAGCAGAATCTCACCTTTGCAGAAGAATTAGAAGCCGTTAAGGGAGGTAAATGCGTCAAGGGGTCAAGTGCACTTGCAAGATTAGATCCGATCTTGACCGATGGTCTTCTTCGTGTTGGCGGGCGCCTTAGCAGGGCTACCCTATCAGACGACTCTAAGCATCAGATTATCATTCCTAGAGATTCTCATCTAGCTCGTCTGCTTGTGAACCACTTTCACCAGAAAAGCGGCCATTCTGGTAGAGAATATGTCCTGGCTCTGTTGCGCGAACGTTTCTGGTTGATTCGTGCCAACTCTACTGTTAGAAGTGTGCTTTCATCCTGCTTTGATTGCAAACGACGACAAGGTCCCGTTGGAGAACAAAAGATGGCAAATCTGCCTCGGCCTCGAGTTACACCAGATCAACCCCCCTTCACGTGCGTGGGGATAGATTATTTTGGTCCCTTTCTTGTTCGTCAAAAGAGGAGCATGGTCAAACGTTATGGTGCAATCTTCACTTGTTTGGCACTGCGAGCTGTTCATCTGGAGGTGTGTCACTCACTGGACACTGACTCTTTTATTCACGCACTCAGACGTTTTATCGCTCGTAGAGGTCAAGTTAAAGAAATTCGCTCCGACAATGGTTCAAATTTCGTAGGAGGTGAAAGGGAGCTTCGTGTCATGATTGACAGCTGGAATCAAGCTAAAATTCATGACGCCCTTCTGCAGAAAAGCATCAAATGGGTTTTTAACCCACCCGGAGCCTCGCATCATGGTGGTGTCTGGGAGAGGCTAATTAGATCTACACGCAAGGTTCTGGGTGCCCTGGTTAAAGAACAAAGTCTCGATGATGAGAGTCTTCAGACCTTGTTGTGTGAATGTGAGAGCATTATCAATGGAAGACCTCTGACCACAGTTTCTGACGATCCAAAGGATTTAGAACCACTATCACCGAACCATCTTCTCCTGCTTCGCAGCGAGACACCTCTTCCTCCAGGCTTGTTCTTAAAGAGCGACACATACTCCAGGAGAAGATGGCGGCAAGTACAATATTTGGCTGATGTTTTCTGGGGTCGCTGGAAGAGAGAATATCTCCCTCTGCTGCAGTCACGTCAGAAATGGTTTCGACCAAAGAAAAACTTTGCCGTGGGGGACACTGTTATCGTGGTTGACGAAACTTTGCCAAGGAATGCGTGGGCAATTGGTCGGATTACAGAGGTTTTTCCTGACAAATATGGATTTGTCCGCCGTGTCAAGGTTAAAACCAAGACATCAACTTTGGAGCGCCCTATCAGTAAACTATGTCTTCTGGAATCAATTGAACAAGTGGAAGGGAAAATTCATTGACTTTCCTTTATCGTGTGATTACCAAGATTGCGCGACTTTTCTTTGAGGAGAAAGATTTTAATTGACACTTTATAGTACTTTGTTGACTCTGTTAGGCGTCTGAACATTAAGTAAAAATCGTCTAAGTTCAATTAGCTCTGTAAAGTTTGCGCCTTTTAGTGTTTTGCTGGTAAATACTTGGATTTAGATCTTCGTATTTAAGGGGCCGGAATGTAGGCGCAAGAATTTGTACTATCATTTTTTGTTAGTGTTGGTGTTTCATAGTTTCGTGTTAGGTGTTTATTTTCTCGTCTTCCATTAGTGTCCTTTGTCAGTTACCAGTTTTGTACTTGTTATATTTATTTGCATATCGTATATATATTGGTTGCGCGTAATTTATTTGGTTAGTTGTCTAGTTTGCGAAAATTGTCGTTACATATCTAGCTCTGGGTTTCATGTTTTCGTCTTTGGGTTGGTCACATTCGTCTTGTAAGTATCCTTGTTTATCTCGCTTTGTCGTTTTCCAGTACTTTCACTCATACGATGTAAGTTATTTTATGCTCATTCGCGTGTTTGTAATTTTGTCATTTTCAGTTACCGTATTCAACAATGTGTCAAGTTTGTTCTAGTAAAGTTTGAAATACGAGTGATTAGCGTTTGCGGCTATACTAATAAAGGAATGGCATGGTCAAATTATAGACAGTTTACTTTTCCTTCATGAAACAGAACACCCTAAACATGAATAGTTTAGCCAAATGATAAACAGTCTAGTTGCCCATGTCGAGTTGGAAATTGAAATTGTGAAATGGACTAGCTCAATTGCAAATAACTCGAAATAAATTCATAATGGTACAGCGTACACACAAATGGTGTGGCATCGCATGAAATGGCTCAGCTTCATGTTAAATGGTATAACGTACGTAAACGATGTAGTGTTGCGTGAAATGGCTGTTGTTATCAGTATCTGTTGTCTACATTGGCAGTAGAAAACAGACAAACAGAGGAGTTTCTTGATCACAGTGCAAATTTCAGGAAGATAAAAATTACCTTATAATTAAAAATATGTGCAAAAGACATTATAGTTAACTAAAACAATTCTACTGTATAAATAGTGGGAAATGTTTGTTTCCTGTGTTTACACAAAAAGTAGCAACTGTACAGTGCAGAACCCAGCTAGTCTTGAACTCTTGAGGGAAGCAACAATTTGCTCAAGACATACAGCTGGGAGTTTGAGATAGTGGGGTAAATTTGTCTGTGAAACAGGAACAAGGGATGCTGCTCTTTGTTTGAGATAGGGAGTTTTAGATAGCTGAGTTCCAATGGTTATGACTGAGAAAAGCAGGGCAAATCCAAGGGAAATGGGTTTGAGTTCGAGATAGCGGGGTTCAACTGTACTGTATTTACCTGTGTGTAAAATATGCACTTTTTTCTATAAAAATAACCATCAAAATCACAGTGTATTATACACAGATTCTATTGTTTGTCAAGCAGGTCCTAATATGCATACGTTAAAAAGACAACAAAGAAAGTAACAAAAGCCTAGTAGTAACTGGTCTTTATTAGCTTGAGTTAAATAATCTACCAATGAAACATTTTCAATTTTGATCCACAAACACAACAAAGAAAGTAACAAAAGCCTCATAGTAATTGGTCTTTATTAGCTTGAGTTAAATAAGCTACCAGTGGTGCCTAACCTTGAAGGTATCTCACAGCATTCACAGCAAACAGTCACCAAATTAAGTATTAATGTGTCTCAGCAATGCAATTTTTTAGATGCACATTTACTTTACTATTACTAGTAATAATTATTTTGTAAGGTGCAATTCCCAAGTGGCAGTTGTGACCACAACACGTGTGCACTTGCTTAATGGCAATTATCACACGAAAATACCAAATACTTCTACACTGCATGACCCTGTATGCATTATAGACATGTTGGTCTAAAAGAACATAAATATAGAGATTTTAAAAGCATTTCATATTCAGAGGAATTTTGAATTATATTTGTGGCATCAAATATTGTGGTTTCTCTGATGTTGTCTTTGCAAGGGTCAGGTACAATTTTGAGTAATGTAAAGTACCTTTGTGTATACCTTCTCTAGGTAACCACACTATAAGAGATAAATTGAAGACATGAAATTTAGATTTCACCAAGTATGGCATAGAATATATCTCCAAATGTTGTCTCTGCAACAGACAAAATACTGAGGAATGACCTGTAATTTGAATATTTAACCAAGTTTGAACTGTATGCAGTTGAACCTCTATTTAAGTGTCTATCACCCTTAAATAGATATTTTCAGAATCAACTCTATGCACATTGAATAGTTAAATGGTGAAATATTTCTTGTTTTTGAATTTACAAAATGCTAATTAGATGATGTCAACCTGGGAATTTGCCATTATTTCTATGCCAACTTACAATGTGCAGTATACAGCTTGAGGATAATTGATTTGATAAATACAAAAAATAAACTGTGGATAGTCAATTGATTGGTAAAAAAAATTACTTGGAGGTGAAAACAAGTAGTTGTATAATAAATGATTCCTATGTTGACGTCATTAATTAGCATTTTGTAAATTTAAATCTATATAGCTCAATAACGCGACGTTCAAAACAAATATTTCACCATTTAACTGTTCGATGTGCGTAGAGTTGATTCTGAAAATATAATTGTTTTTAAGGGTGACAGGCACTTTAAGTGGCCATACTTTAATCAGTTACAGCCACCAACTATAACAGTCATTGTTTAATTCTAGAACTGGAGTGTCATGGCAGCAACTTCCAGACATGGTCTGTTCTCGTTATTCAGTGGTGACAAGCCTCAGTTGCCATGATTTAAATATTGTGTATTGTGTCAACCCAGAAGAATCAGGGAGCAGAGCCTTATTCAAATAAATCATGGTGAGTTTGTTGTACTTCCTTAGTGAGCACCCAACTATTCATTTCAGTAAAGCTGTTCAGATGGCGTATGACAGCTAAAATTTGTGTTAGTGGTTTCTATGCTTTGCATTGTTTAATTTAAAGGGGTGAGTGGAATAAAGCGTTGAGTGACTTCTGATCAACTGCTAGATTCTCCTTCCAGTTTATATTGTATATGTTTGTGTAACGAAGGGAGAATTTGGCTATAAATCAGGAGTCACCTAGGGCCTTATTCCAAACATTATTTTGAATAAGGCCCTAAGTGACTCCTGATCTGAAGCCAAATTGTTACATGAGCATATACAAGACAAACTGGAAGGAGAATCTTGCAGTTGATCAGAAGTCACTTAGGGCTTTATTCCAATCACCCCTTCATTTCGCACCGTAAAATTTTCGAACACTACAAACACATGAAATTTGCTAAATTTTCGGTCATTTTTACTAAAACCAAAGGTCACTTAGAAATTTTTGGACAACAATTTTCAGCTGGCATTTTTCGGAAAAATCACATTTTATTCCAAAGAATTTTCGGCTAAGTAAATTTTCAGCTAGAACATGTGAACAGCTAATATTTTTCTAACGATCTGTAGGTTTGTATATGTTTGATAAATACATGCGGCGCAATAATTTTTCCCACATACAGTACCGACAAGAACTGTCCCCCACTAAAATTGCACCAAAAGCAGACCTGAGCAGACCATACTTTCTGAAGTGAACCCAACCAAACTTCAAGCCCGCTATATAGGTGCCGCCTAATAGGGTCGGGTTTTTGAGCCTCTGGATCCATAAATAGGGTGTCTTATTCGCGATTCTGGGTCTGCTCATGTTTGCACTGATGTTTGCATGTGAAGTGGGGGTTAGTTCCAGTCGGTACTGTAACTGCAACGACAATCCAATCGGAGGGTTCAATCGACGGTGAGGAAAGAGGCCTCACTACTCTATGTACAGTACCTCTCGCGTATACGTTAGCTGCGCAGGCGAATTTCATACGCTCCGACGCAGGGTAGTCAGACGCGTATATACGATTTTTATGCACGCTCGGTCGAAAAAAATGCGCGATTCATGTGCCTTTGTTATTCAGTGCTACAAGTTTCCTTTGTATTTCATTGTTGTATGAAACAAAGGACTTCTAAGTTTGAAAAAGCGATGAGTAGACAACGGAAAATTTACATAATGAAATAAAAGCTATCGTGTTACACTCTCGAATGTCGCGTCGCTTCGCGAATTTTTCGGATAACGAGTAGTAGTAGTAGATTGATGTTAAGCCTTCTGATCACCAACTACATTTATGATTTGTAACGTTCATATTTTTCATATTACAGAATATCCAAAATGAGCAGGAATTGTCCCCGGGCCCACCGACGTGCTGGCACATATTGGCTATGTTCCTCGAACAGTCATTCAGTACGCTAAGTACCTTCTAAGAGGCAACATTAACGTTGAATTTTTCATGGTCAAGGCAATTACTAATATTCTACAAGTACTAGAAGACGAAGCACTGTAGATTCCTGATAGGTGCAAACGTGTGCGCATCCGGTCACTAGCGATGATAAATACTTGCAAGGCTAGTGATCACCATCAACCTTTTCCTGGTCTTGTTTGAAACCACCAGGATTCGATTTGAAAGAAGTATCCGTCGTTAGCCCTCTGGTTGAAGAAGCTGTTGTGCAGTATACGTTGGAAAATCCCAATTATTTGTTGGATGTAGTAAGTATTGATTTTTTTTACTCTGGCGATCAAATCCTGGGGTGGGGGGCCGATACTGAACTGACAGGGGGGGCTCGGCCGTACCATTTTGTGTGTAAAATTCCAGATATGGTACTATTTAGGGGGGCTGTTGAAAAAAACAATTTTATAATTAACTTGGTACCATTTAGGGTGTCAATTGATTACTAATTGGAATCTGGTTACCGGTTACCGATTTCAGACTTTCAGTTACCGGTTACCGATTTCAGAATTTCAGTTACAGGCTACCAATTCCCCGTTTGGTAAACAGACAACATTTTTTCCATGCAAAACATTATAGTAAATGTACTCGACTAGTACCTCGTCTATTAACAACAAATTAAGCGCTAGAATGAGCAGACAACCAAAACAT